CATGCGTTCGGCGACTTCCGTCAATGGATGATGCCACTGAGTCGTTACCGCTTGGCTGTGCAGACGTGATCGCTCTATGTTAAGTTTTCCCGTTCATATTAAATATATTCTTTTGCCAGCCAAAATGTATACTCCAGAAGTGCGAAACACCATACTACTAATTGTCACAGTAAAACAAGACAGCATTGACAATGATTTGAATTCCACGTGAGATCTTACAGACTTGGTCACCGTATGATGACAGGTCTATTATTCTGGAGGCCAAGTCGAATACGATTAGTACCGATGACACACAACATTCTTATAAAATATTTAGTTTCATTTTGGATAGGACAGGAGTCTGAGTGACCTGTGTTAGTCATGACAACTGTGATATCTCGAGCTATCCAAATTTTTTTTGATGGCGTAAAAAGATGGAGCTTCAATCACGTGTTGGGTTAATGGATTCCATTCGTTGATGATTCGATAGGAAGGTCGATAGTCAGCGGGCAAGTTATCTGTTCTGATCTTGTGAATATTTTTAAAGTGTCCTCGTAAACTGTATGTTCTAAGAGAAAAACTGGTTCAGTTTAGTCAGTCGAACATCATACGGTCAGCTTGATTGTGATTCTTTGGACCCACTTCAACTACCTGGTGTTTCTTTTTAAGTAGATGTATTCGCTTTTATGTAGTAATCGAGTTTAAGATGCACAAGTACAGCATACCTATTGACCATGGGATTTCAAAACCTATGTCGGCTAGGACACAGTAGTGTACAGTAATTTTTAAGCATTGGCTAACGATGAATCCTAAGTCACTATGTCTAGACAACATGCAGCTCAATTTAATTCATCGTGTATGTCCCAATACCTTGTTGACTGATATGTTCCACAATGCACTTGGGAGAATTTATCGACAACTACCAAAATTTAAATCAGTCCGATAATTTCTCCGGGTCATTTTGAAGCTCTTAACCTTCATCTATTTACATTATCGCCCTGCATATCTTGACATCATCAGCACATAACAAAACCGACAGCGATAGGAGACTGGAATGATAATTTACATAAAAAAGTCACAGCACTGGCCCAAAAACTGTACATTAAGGCCCTTCACTAAACACTATTCTCCAGCTAAACAAATTTGAGTTCGCCTGTACTCTTTGTTGACGCCCAACTAAGAAGTCCTTTATCCACTTTAATAAATTGCCTCCAACCCCGACATTCCTTAACTTATATAAAAGCCGGTTGTGATGAACTTTGTCAAAAGCCTCTCTAAATTCAGTGTAAACCATATCTATAGGTAACTTTTGGTCTTTGAAAGCTCACCAACTTTTAACAGCTATTAATGGGCTAGTAAGGTGTAAATAACATGTTCTAAAGCCGTGCTGCTTTTTAGAAAGAATCAGGGTGTTGTTGCGATACTTGAACGAATCCTTCTGAATATTCTTTCTTGTGGTGGTCCCCAAACAAAAGGAGCTTACACAAATTATATTGATACACTAGGTTAACAATGATATACCAAGACAAATTATTGATTAAGAAACCTAGATGTCTGTCCGTTAGTAAAAACAAAGGTAATAAAATACCGTTAGCAATACAAAAGGTATATTAAACAAAACAGACGCTAACAGTTACTATAGAATGAATGTTACTTGTCAACTGCCTCGTGAGGACAACGACCACAAACTGAGTTCACTTGGTTGACAGGTGTTCCTCTGCAAGTGACTGCACCAAAGACGTAATGAGGAAGACGGAGTCCAATAGTATTATACAATAGTAATCCGTGCCAAAAGTCCAACGTTGAGTCGGAAGGCCTATAATGATGTTATAATACTATTATAGTCTTCAATCAAAGCGGTGGCCAATAAAACAGAAGAACAAACAGCGTAGGTATTGTTCTATATTTTAAACAACCCGGTAGAAGAAGTGTATATCATTCATCGAAACAATTATCATCGTCTTTTTAACAAGTGATACAGCAAAACAACAGATATTGGATAAAAATGTGGTTACAAATAAAGTGTGACAAATTAGAGAAAAACTGTGGTTTTTATTTTTGTTGTTACAAAAATCACTGAATATATGTCACCATATTCTTAAAGATTTAGTAGACATACCGGTTAGACTTACTGGTCGACAGCTCTCAGGTTTATGCCTTGAAGGCAAAACTTACTATTCCGTTCTTCCGGTCTTTTGGCAATCGGCCCAGGGTTACAGATAGGTTAAAACAAATACTAAGAGGATTCGCGACGTAATTTGCTTATTGTTCTAGTAGCCGAGAATGCTTACACATTACTAACTGATATTATTTCCGCAGTACAAAACTGGATTTGCCAGATACTATTTTACTACATAGCTTGGTACCTATCACTATGGAGTTAGGTCCGCGCAGATTAAATATTCAGGTTCTAACGTTAGCAGCACCATAATATAAGAACGATCTTTGATTAGTATCAGAAGGGGTTTTGTGGAGATTGCAGTAATTTCAACAGTTGACCCATGATCTCAACTGTTGAAATTACTACAATCCTCACAATTGAATAATTATTTGGTTGTATCAACATTCTTAGTTGAGCAGTTGGAAGTTAATTGACCTGAGAATTTGTAAGCATCTCATCAGAGAATTTACTACGACGCCGATTCCAACTAACTAATCGAGTTGCGTTCGAAAATAAGTTCTAACAAGTATAGTTTTGACTACCAAACTAACTTAGTTTCAAGCTTGTATAAATGTGTTGTTATCGAATGCTAGCAATCGATAAAAGCTTATATGAATAAATTTAAGCGACTTTCTGTGTGTTATCTGATCGTCGAGTCATATTAATGTGTTGATAAGATAGTGTGATAATTCTGTGAAATCCTTAAAGTCTGCTTTGAACCTCACTCAAACCATAGCAAAGCTTCACTGTGGACGCAATACATCGAAGGCTGAATTGTATAAGTGATCATCTGGCTTTCTATAGCTGTGTCGTAAAGCTGTACTTAAATGCAACAACTGTGTTTCTTTATAACTCTAGTTTCATGCGTCTGTAAACCTAAGGTGCCAAACAAGCTGTTCATAATTGTCTGTGGTTTCAAAACGCTGCTAATAAGCAATATTTGCAACATATGTTTAAGCGATATCATAACAAGTGTTTAATAAGTACATTCGTAGTAATTTATCTAACATATTATTGAAGTGGTCTGTGACATCGTAAAAAAGTACAACGGATTGTATGTATATATTGAAGCTAATATCTGATCTGTTTCGAGGATGAACGGGTAGATTCATCATAAACTACTTTTTATTTTCTTCACACGTTAAATTCCGAAAACAATATTTCAAAGTACGGCAGAATTATATTTTTAGGACCACGTTTCTGTGGTAAGAATCTCAAGTCATCTATTGCAAGAACTTGACTATAATCAAGCTGAACACTTAGTTCTAATATACTATGTAGTTGACTAAAACAGTGTAACTATTTAATTTATATAGCATTACATCGGCTCTACACTATACAAAGGTTCCCTAGTCTACCTCACCTTCGTATGATAACCATGCTTTATTGTTTCTTTGGTATATCTAGAACAAAGTCTTATCAGGGTTTATTTAAATGAAAATGGAAAGAAGAATCGACAGACAAGGTCATTTATGCTATTGCATGTGCCAATCTCACACAAATAATTCGGCATTGGAGATTTTTAATATTATTGATTTGTAATAAACCACTTAGTGCCCTGTAGCTATTCCCAAGTAGGAACATATTCGGTGTTGCAGTTAGTTCGGGCAGGGTTGTGTAGTTTCCAAGTCTTTATAGCAATTCGCTAAAACGATATGTAGTATTAGCAACTGCTGTTGATGCAATCAAGTCGAAATCGGATTTTCACAGTTCGACAAACCACTGGGCTTACTGTAGCCAACATTAGCTTCCTAACTTCTGGGAACTAAATTATTCTTTCTATTTTAAGAACTAGTGATATATTATTAACATTAAATTCTTTAAATTGTCCGATTCTACGTCGAAAAGGCTAAAATATTTCAGATCTTTTGTTTTTTGTATGCATTTATATGCCTGTCGTTATTCATCATGTAGTCACATAAGATCATCAAACACAAAACAACACTACGATTTTAATAAACAATCAGACTTAACAGAAGTATCAGCTTTACCAATTTTCCCAGTATCCTTTCGGGTTTAGATCTAATTGGTTCCGTAGGTATTATATTTTAGGTTGCACTTTCGAAGTACTTGAGGAATAGTAACTCAGCTTCACAAAAAAATCAAAATCCATGACCCTTAAATCCCTGAGCTATGCTCATGAAAACTTTAAGCATACCTATACAGTCAACACATAATTTTTATTCTCAGTATCTGTTGAGATTTTACTGCGAACGAAAATCCATTCTATTCTGCTATTATAAGGACGTAAGAATCCTCAGTCAATGCTGGAATTTTTCGATGCATTTCAAAGAGTGAATTTAAAAATAAAGTTCTAGCGATTATGTATCTTAGTACATCGTAAATCTTGATTCGTTTTACTGCACAACTTTTGAATCAACAATAACTTGAAATTGAGAACACTAAATAGAATGAAGACTAGGCCCTAGTTTGTTCATAATGTTTAGGCTGTTAACCTTAATCACAAAAATGTTATTGATACCGACAAAGTCTTCTAACAAAGTTCATCAGAATTAAAAGTCACCTACAAAATATGTGCACTCATTCTAATTTAGTTTATGAGAACACATCATTCTTAATATCGAAGCAATAAAAATCAGAACAAACCAAAAAAATTTGGCCATTAGGTGTTCAGACAAATTTTAGCCTTCGTAAGCTAATATTTATTCCTAAACCCATAGCGGTTGACAGCTGACCGAAATATTAGAGAAGTGAAGTGTGTAGCATTCTCATGTGAAACAAAATCACTAAGTTTAATAACATCAGACCAAGATTATATTGATAGACACAAAGAATTCATAATCGTTCTTATCCTAGATCATTCTAAATTTCGTCGGTCATTGGATGCAGTGTTCTTACAATGGAAAATGAACACGTAATTACCATTTTGTATCCTACCACCTATAACCAGTCTAATGATATTGTTTTCCAAGGTCATACGGATTCAGTAACAAGCTTAAGTTACAACGACCAACTTGAACACGTCGTCTCAGTGAGTTGCGACCAAACACTGCGCGTGTGGTCTCTTAAAACGAGGGAACAAATAGGTATCACATCAAAACATGCTACACAACTCAACAGCGTAAACATAGACAGTAATGGGTTAAAGTAACATTATGTTTATGTTAATTAATCTACTACAGTATTATATCAAGTGGGATGGATTTTAGAACCTGTTTGTTTGATTATGAAACTTTAAAACTCAAGGTAAAAGTAGATTTTTCACTACGTAACCCAGTTTGTCCTACTGAACGGAGGTGCAGTTACTGATCATTCAATCACCAAGGATGGTAATTGTTTGGTATGTGTTACTGATATCAGCTGCCAAATGAACTTATGGGATTTAAGATGGCGAAAGAAAGTTTTTTCGATTCCAGGTGAAATCATTCATATCTGATAAGATTAATTTGGCTTTAAGATATTCACGAAAATACACCAACATGTTGTCTGTTTACTCCGAATGAAAATTGTGTAGTTACAACATCAACAGATGGATCCGCAAAATGCACAGACCTGCGATCTCTCAAAACATTACTGACCTTGCGGTTTGATTTGTGGAATTTACAAATTAAATTATTCTTAGTGATCATAGGAATGCTGTATCATCGGCAGCCATCGCTAGAGACGGAAAGTTGCTGGTAACAACATCATGGGACAAAGCGGTTCATCTATACGACATTGAGACTGGAAACTACAGGAGAGAGGGACCACAGATTTTAGCTGATGGTCACACTGGTTCTATAAGTAGCTGTGACATAGACGATAATGGTGAGGACCAAGTTTCACTCCTAATATTACTTAGGGATCTATCTGGCGACTGGAGGTCACGACAAGTGTGTTATATTATGGGATACTGAGAAAAAAGAAGTCAAGCTGTGTCTCAAGGTATTACCATGTACTATTTATAGAATACTTTAAACAGAGACATACAGATTGGATTAATGACGTACACATGACGAAAGATGGGAAGTGGATTCTAACAGCATCAAAAGTAGATCCTATTATCTATACCAACGTTTTAGGACAGACTGATAAGGTCATGGAATATGGAAGTGATTGAAAGGTTGCCATTTAGTTATTTACCTGGCAATGACCAAACTGTTCTTACTTTAAAGGTAAGTATAGTAAGATTACAATGGTAACGAAGGTGTCATTTTTACTAATAGGTGGACTTTTTTCGGAAGTAATTTGACTGATACATTTTTACTACACGATGTCTCAGAAAATGAGTTCTCATATTCAATATCATGACATACATATCGTGTACAAACTGTCCCAATTTACGGACGAAGAAATTACAAAGTGAATGACTGACGCTGGGCAGGATAAGTGAACATAGTTCACATTTTCAAAAGTCAAATGTACATCGATAGGGTGCGGAGACCTGTGACAGACTCACCATATCTATCAAAAACCATTGTGCTTGAAAGAAAAACGTCAGTAAATTTGTCTAGGATCCTACCACAGAACTAAAAACCCATATAAATCTAAAACTGACAGTTGAGCCACATGGGTTTTGACTGCAGACCTTAGTTTCGTTGTCTTTAGTGCATTCTGGTTGATATGACGGATAGTACCCAACAAGAGAAAGTCAGGATAAAAATATCACGAAGAAACCCCTCAATACCAAGTAATTGCAGTGCAAACGGAACAGACGTTCCGCAAAAGTTTAGTTCTTAGGAAGTCATTCTGAATGAATGAATAGGATTACTGTCCTCCAGATCTAACGTGGTTCTCGAAGTTATAATAACGAGGATTCAGAAAAGGTCGAGTCACCATTACGGTGTGCAAACGCTACAACTCCAAGTTGTGACAACACCTACGATCCTTCCCGTCCCGACCGAACTTCTCAACCGCATGTATTAAAAATCAATAACCACCACTTAGTATTGCCTCTTACGTCTGAGAAAAAGGAAAGTTCGAGAAATGAACAATTGACCTCCAGGATGGTTTCCTTGTAACACTTTTTACAGAAACAGACAGCAACAAATTCTTAAGTTTTGGCATAAAGACTTTCTGAGGAAATACACCAATTCAACATTGGGCTTAACAGATAAATTACTGGTTAGCGCATTTTGTTCACAAGACCATCTGATGTCATCGAGTTATCTGAAATTGTGACCCAAACAAAACACTTAATAGGGTTTCCGGAAAAAAACCAGAAACATTTGGCGACAAGTAGATGTATAATTCGCATATATTTTTACTATACAGTGAAATAGGCATCGAAAAACGGCTAACATTGCACATTTGGTTCCAGCTTTTGTAAGGGAATAAAATTGGGATGACAGACTATTACATTTAGGGATAAAACCATATTAAATCGAGACGAAAGCTACTATGAATTATTTGACCACTAAAGCGGGTTACTTCCTGATATACAATTAATGCACACATGACTGGTGAGATGGATAATAAAGTAGTGACAGGTGGTATGAGTCCGAATTGTTTATTAGTTATCGCAAACCAAACGACAAAGTATCGACATATAAGGGTATCCTTCCTATATCAGGACCACTTTATAATGGTACGGATGATGCAGTACGAACTAGTTTTAATCATGAGGATTTAAATAATTAAAAAAAAACTAAGACATAACATTTCTTCATTTCAGTGCCCTAACTGTGAAAAAAACTTCATCCAGACAGTAACAAGTGACTGGAGAAGGAGACCCAAGTGCTTATTTTGTGACCTCGATGCAAAGACAAACAATTAAAAGATATGCGACTGACTAAGACGATATCAGCGCAATGAAAAGTCAACGACAAAATAACAATAAAAGATTTAATGTCTAAGTATTTTTTTATATTTGTTTTTTTTCAAATCTTATAAAGCAAACAGTCAAATAATATATGTACAAAAATTTACGAGCCCACAACGAGTAAAAACGTTCAAAAAGCACGGATTGGGCTTTCGATATGTGTGTATTTGCAATCAGGGCAAAAGTGGTCCACCAATTTCAAGTACCAAAAACCACTTAGACTAGATGGGTAGTTATGTTCGGTACACAAACAAGTGACTGAATTATTGTCGAAATACCAGACCGAGCTGAACGTAATCCAGTTCCGAACAGCGGAAAACCATACTATTGACGAGTTAAATAAATGCTGCATGGTATCTGCATCATTGTTGAACCAAAGGAAATTTGGATACATCAAAATTAGTCACACGTTGAAAGAAGCAAGTAGAACAGGTCAGTTTATCTCATAGAAAGGCACCATAAATAAAGATTTATCAACGGGATCACATGTATCACCAAGGCTCGGGCATTGTAGTTAGTTCACTCAACTCCTGATCGGAACAAGAAGGGAAGAAATGACGCTTGTAACCAATCATATCAACCCAAGGGAGTATATGTAAATACTGATCATCTAGGATGATTGAGTGTAAATTTGTAGGAGAAATACAAGCATATTCAGTTTCTGCACCTACTGTACACTTTTGGGGAGAGTTATATTCGGAAATTTCTATAGAACTGTTATCACAGACAGTTACATAACTGCGATCAAGGCTATGCCAGTCAATGTTTTCCGGCAAACACGGTAGGTCAGGCCAATCATTCATAAAATTAGTCACAGGGGGGAAAATCGTTTTGTTTTTACGATGGCCTTTTAGTTGGTTGGAATTTAGTCTGGAAGGACCTAATATTTCAGCTTTATCCTTGTGATGTTTATGCTTCTTTTTCTTTTTAACTTTCTGGGCGATTGACGCAGTGTTGTTCCCAACATCTTTGAATAATAGTCGATTGGATATATTTTCACTATTATAGCTTATAGGACTTTGATTATTGATAGATGAAACGTTTACAAAAGGTATAACACTTTTAACCGAATCAGAAGTTAGGTTGTGATCTTTTTCGTATACAGCAGGACTTTCTCTACACTCCAAGGGTATTTCCGACTTTAAATCTAAAATTGTGTTACATTTAGGAGAATGCGAAGTTTCATTATTATTGGCAGAGACACAGCGTGAACTTGACTGAGAACCAGAGTTTGCACGAGCCAGACGTGTTTTTGTGGGTTGCATTATTGAACATACTCGAGGAGGGTCGACTTCTTTGCTGATTCTGTTTGTAAGAATGCGGTCAGCAGTTACGGAATCAATACAATCTCCTGCAGCTTGGACCAGTTCTGCAGTTGATTTCACTTTCGTCAAACGCATGGAATTCGCTACTCGGAGCTTCGATGAAGGAGATCGAGATGCTGTTGAAATAATTGTTTGAGGTACTGAAGTATCTAACTTTTCTCTAAACCCGGTATTCTGAGGTTGTGATTCCATACATTTACTACCATTCACAAGGTTACTCGGACTTTTGACCTGAACGACTGTTGATGTTGTGTCTACGCACTTCAGACGTTTAGAAATATTTGAAACATAGTTATCGTTTTGGTGTGTTAGATGCACAGCAGATTTTTGTGAATCATCTTTGTTGAGTTTTTCTGAGGGAGAATCGGGGAAATTTCTCTTTGTGAGATGTACGGAGCTTTTCATCTGAGGAGAGTATATTGCATTTACAGCGTCTGCTGGTTGCCTGGATCTTTCACGAGCAGATATTTTAATTGGTGTGCCATTCGACCTAGGTGACGTAGGTATATTTTTGTCCGAAGTCTTCAAAGGAATGACAAACTGATGTGAATATTCAGAGGATAGTAGCTTTTGCCATGCTTTGATAATAAGTCGAATGCGTTTTTGAAGAGGTGGATCAACCTTGTGACGAATGGTTTGTAACAATTGACCAATCCTAGTATCCTGTAACTGAATCATAGTCATCGGGAAGTTCTCCAAATGACCGATGACGTCACACACTGCATTCAAATCTGTTACCTACAAAGTAGAATGAATAAGAAGTTCCTAAAGTTAAGAAAGCACATTTTTCGAATGAAATAACAGATGGATATTTTTTATTTGAATAGGCACTTGAATTGTAGCTATAATTTCGAATGAAATAGTCAGGCAGCGCAAGACCTGGAACATACTGCATCACCCTAAGTTTCCATATCACAACAGCACAGTGAGACGAAATTAATATAGTAGAAGTATGAGCTGGAGTAAAAAAGACATGATAAAAAGAAAATGGTTTGGGAAAAAACGGATCTACAAGAAAAAAAGAATCAAATAATTTGAAACTTAAAATCAACTGACTGCACATTTAATGACTTCATGGTCATGTGGTAAGTGAAACTGGAGGAACTATGTTACGGCCTAATCTAATGCTTAAATCTAGTTGATGTGTACAGAAAGTTTACAAACGACAATTCTAAACAAATGGCTGGTAGTGCGGATATATACAGAACAGCCGCTGCTTCCTCTCCGGAATTGATCGCGTTCAAGGAACTTACACCAAATGACTAGGAAAATTCAACTAGATCAATGTCTGCTCGGAAACTCACCTAGGCAGGTTGAGAGGACGATAGACAGTGATGACAACCTTGACGTAGACCAAAAAGGTTTACGCGATAATCATGAGTAATGGTGGGTAGCAAAAGTAACGACATGCAACACAAGACAACTGTTTTGATTCATCAAAGAGTCAGGAATGTGATCCTCTTAGAGTTCAAGAGATTAAAACAATATGTGGAAGACTTCCAGAAACAGTTTAACAGGTACCTACTTTTTTTCTAATTACCAAGGTGGAAACCCAACAAGTTCCCTAAATCTTATCGAAATTGAAACAGTCCTACCTAACTCAAACAGATAGGAATCATCAGAACTTGGTATCTTAACTACGGGTCTTTAAAGATAATGGTCTAATTTTGGAAATTATTCTGACGGAGATACTAGCTAGAAATCCTCATAGGATAACAACAGGACATATTGTACTATTATAACGTCTGATATACTAGATTCGATAATCATTCAACGATTATCTGGAGCGAAATTTAGCCAAGTACAAACACGCCGAGATCGATCAGACTTCTAAGATAAGTTAGGTAGGCAACACACTTCATAACTCCGC